GACTACTCTTCGGGTGCTGCTGCACGTTGCAGCACAGCGTGACTACGAGCTGCACTCCCTCAACTTCTCCACAGCTTTCCTGCAGGGCAGCCTTCACGAGGAGATCTGGCTGCGCCGCCCACCCGGCTTCACTGGGTCGTTACCTGCACGTACCCAGTGGAGCCTCCGGCGACCAGTCTACGGTCTCCGCCAGGCGCCCCGAGAGTGGCACGACACATTGAGGACTACACTTGCGGCTCTTGGGTTTGCTCCTTCTACTGCTGACCCGTCGCTGTTTCTACGCACCGACACTACCCTGCCGCCGTTCTACGTTCTAGTGTACGTCGACGACTTGGTTTTTTCTACTGCTGACATTGAGGCGCAGGCCCTACTGAAGGCGGAGTTGCAGGAGAGACACACCTGCACTGATCTAGGTGAGCTGCATAGCTATCTTGGCTTGCAGATCACCCGGGACAGAGCACGGCGCACCATCACCCTGACTCAGTCACACATGGTGCACTAGGTCCTTCAGCGCTTCGGCTTCGAGTTCTCCTCGCCACAGCCCACTCCTCTGCCTACCGTCCACTCGCTCTCAGCTCCACCTTCGGACGAGTTCGTAGAGCCGAGTGGTCCGCACCCAGAGCTTGTGGGTTGCCTCATGTACCTGATGACGTGCACACGACCTGACCTCGCGTACCCTCTCAGCCTCCTGGCTCGCTACGTGGCTCCCGGTAGACACCAAAAGGTGCACTGGGATGCTGCAAAGAGGGTACTCTGTTACTTGTGCTGTACATCGGGCATGGGGCTAGAGCTTGGAGGACAGGGTTCAGTGGTACTCACCGGACACTCCGACGCTTCTTGGGCCGACGACCAGGCAACTCAGCGTTCGTCACAGGGTTACACCTTCAGACTTGGCTCTGGTTCTGTCTTGTGGAGGTCCACTCGTTCTTTTTTTGTGCTTAGTTCCAGCTGTGAGGCCAAGATCTACGCTGGGGCTATGGCTGCACAGGAGCTCCGCTGGCTGACCTACCTGCTGACCGACTTGGGGGAGCGGCCTCGTTCTCCTCCAGTTCTGTACGTCGTCAACAAGGCAATGCTTGCCTTGTGTCACGAGCAGAGACTGGAGCACAGAACGAAGCACATTGCTCTTCGCTACTTCCTTGCGCGTGAGCTACAGCAGTGTCATCAGCTCCGCCTTTTCTGCGTGGCCTCGCGGGCCAACACTGCTGATATGTTCACCAAGGCACTTGGGTTTGGTGATCATCAGCGTTTCTGCACTGCTCTTGGGCTTGTGCCCACTCTGCCTCACCTGCTGGTTGCTTGACTTGCTCTTGTTGTACACTGATATATATCTTTATACCGTATTCTCCCGGACAAAACACCCCCCCATAATTGTACACCCCCGGGTAGCTTGTGCGGGGTGGGTGTTATGGGGAGCCTCGTTTCTACTATACCCCCCTTTTTGCCTGATTCTCTATAAGACCCGGGGGGGGGGGGGGGGGTGTTATGGGCGGCAAAAATACTGAATTTGCTTACTGTACATTGCATACAGGGTACTTTACAGGTACCGGTACTACAGAAGTAATGTGCCAGCACATAGGCATCGACAATGTCACCTAGACTGCAGAAACATCACCACAAGAGCACCTCACATCCACAATTTCACCTAAAAAAACTCTATACAAAGTGCCTTCTACTCAGAATCGTCTCCTGCATGCCATTCTTCACAGTCTTCCCCGTCAAAGCGGCCAGGGCGCCACCATTCGTCATCGCTGGGCTCTTCTGCCTCCCCGCCTTCCTCAAGCATGCCCCCCTCCTCCTCTGCCGCCGCCGCTTCCGCGTCCTCCTCAGCGGCGTCAGCCTCCTCTGCCGCCGCCTGCAGCACCTCGGCCGGCATGGGGACTTCGGCGTAGAAGGGGTTGACGACGAGCTCGTCGTCAACCAGGTCGTTGACGTCGTCAAGGACTTCCACCTCACCCTTGTCCCGCATGTGGGCAAGGATGAGGTGGTCCTCGCTGCCATTGATGGGGGTGGAGATCCCACACGTGACGAACGCCTCCTTCACGAGCTCCTCTGGGATTGCTTCCCAGGACTCATCGATCCAGCGGAGCACCAACTCTGCTGGCGGCTTCTTGAGATTGCCTGAGGGACGGGGAAGGGTAGACAAGGACGAATGTGAATTTCCAGAGCGTAAGCTGACATTGATTAAAAGTCACGCATGCGAATGTCATGGTTCAACTCACCGGCCTTGGTGGTGGTGTTGATTCCTTCTTCTTCGAACCAGCTGCTGTAGCGATGACGCACACCGCACTTGAACGCGCGGTTGATCGACACATCCAGAGGCTGCACTAGCGGAGTGCAGCCCCCTGGGATGACAGCTCGTGACAGCCGAAACATCCGCATGGTCTGCCCGACCACCTCAGTCAAGTGGCCGCGGTAGGAGTCGAGCACAACCAAGGCCTCCCTGCGGCGTCCAGTTGATTCACGCAAGGGCTTCAGAAACGGCACCATCACCTGGGTGATCCAGTCCTGCACAAGTGATTCGTCCATCCACCCTTTGTCTTGTGCACGGACCACCACACCTGCCAAAGAATACCGGTACGTCAGGGTCAAATTCGGTTGCGACTGTTGACAGGCTAGAGTAGTGACATCATCCTAAACGTGCTACGCTTACCGGCATGGATGGGCACCTTCGGTATGGTCTTGCGCTTGAACACCACGTACGGCGGCAGCTTGAGCCCGCTCGCAGTTACTGCCAGCATGACAGTAACACGCTCCTTCTCATAGCCCGCACTCCGTACGTGAACCGTCCGCGCTCCCTTCATTTCGAGCGTGCGCTCCGCCGGCATCTCCAGGAAAAGCGGGGTTTGGTCCGCGTTCAAGATGAGGTCAAGCGGGTAGTCGTGCAGAGAGCGCATCTGGCGCACAAACTCCCAGAAGGACTCCACCTTGGCCTTGCAATCTGCAAGCAAAGCCACGAGACATATTAGCTCAGCACTGAGATGGCAATCAAGGAGCACGACGGCGCAACACTTACCCGCTGCCAACTTCTGTCCCATCTTCGTCTTCACCCGCCTCGCCAGATGCCAGCGCGCGCGGAAACGAGTCGCCCAGCGGAACGATGCGCGCCAGTTGACCCCGGGCATCCGTTGCTTCATGTACTTGGCGCTCCACTTCTGGAGCATGCTGACCGAAACGGCGAGCCCCCTCCCCCTGTGCTTGAGGAACTGGCGGTAGACCGCCCGTTCCATGAAAGGGAACTTGGACTTGCGGCCAGCTCCCATGAGGCGACGACGGCAGCTGGAAGAGACCTCCAGCCGCTCCCTCATCTTCTTCCAATCGCGGATCTGGCATGGCTGCACCTTCGCGAGCTTCGCCAGTGCGCGATTCGACAGGTCGGGCTGCGAGTCCTGCATCTTCAACCAGTGGAGCTTCTCCTTCGCGGTGATTCCCTTGCGCTGGCGTTTCGTCATGCGATGGCGAGGGGATGGCGGGTCAGCATCGGCGTTGCGCTTCTGCTGTCCCTGCGGGCGGTTCCGCTCCGGGAACGTGGGGACAACCACTCGAGGAAGGGTAGGGCGAGGACGGTCCAAGCTACTGCTCGGTTCATCCCTGGTAGAAGCACTACCGGGAGCATCCGTCTGAGGAAAGATCGGGCGAGGAGACGTCCGTGCGCGTGCATAAGCGCTAGTCTGATTGGTGGAAACAGGCCGCTGCCGCCTATCTACCGTACTGCTAGAATCTGGAGATGAAGCCATGCTTGGGAACTAAGGCAGGTCGATGTCACTCGCCATGGGAGAAATGACTTTAAAGACGATACCCTCGTGCACAGGAAGGAGACGCTCTCACAGCCTGCCGAGCACTTGTCAAAGACGTGCACTGGAACCGCTTGACGAAGAGAAGAGCAAGCTTGGGTGAGGAAGCTTGGACATGACTACCGTACACGGCCGTCAAGGGGTCACAGGTACAGTGACAACACAGCACCGTGCGCGATTCCGGCCTCGTACTGCATGAACCCAAGCTGCGCGAGGTTGGCACTGATGTCAACCAATCAGGTGGCACAGGCAGATTCCAGTGGAGGCCGACGTTATCCTCGTAGACGCGGTTTGGCGGCCCTGATTTTAAAAATAATAACAAGGCCAGACCCCTGTTTTTGTTTCCATTCATTTCTGCTTATAAAAAAATGTGCATTATAATAAGGCCCAGGTATTATGTATTTTTTTCCTATGAGGAGACCCCCCCCATTTTTTCCCTGTATTTTTAGCTATACCCTAGGGTGTTATGTCCGGGAGAATACGGTACCTGCTTGTTTACCCTTGCTAGGTTGTGACCAGTGTATTGCTTTGCTATTATAACTTTGCATGTGAACTGGCCTTGTGGCCACTTGCTTGTGCTCAGATTGTGTGGTGTCCTTGAGATCCACCCTGAGCTTTGTTTTGCTTTGCTGTTGCTCTGTTGTCTTCCTTGACTGGTCTTGTGACCATCTTGTTGTCCCCCACTTATCCTATGGGGATGTGTCAAAATACAATCTTATTTGTAGGCCATAGTGGGGCACTCCTTATGGGGTACAACACTTCTAGGGTCAGTACTTGTACCCCAACCCTTGCTAATCCAATCATTCCTGCACAGTTCTCTCGATAGCTACCCCATTTATAAGAGACACTCGGATAATAGACACCCCCTGTCTTCTATTCAACACTGTCTTATATGTGGGTGATGACGGTAATAGAATATACATGTAGCTCTTCACAAAAGCCAGAATAGTGAGGTCGGGAATGAGCTCCTTGTGAGGCAGAGGCTTGCCAGTCTTGGGAGAGACAATGCTCTCCTTGAACCACTCTTCAATATACCTCACATGCCCCAACACACCATGACTACCATAGTGGCTCCAATCCAATCCATGGTTCATGTCTCACCTTTCTCAGCGGGCATGAGCTTCTCCGCCTGCTACAAGATGAATCCGGAGACATAAAAACAATGCACCGTGTGACTACCTGGTTCAAGACTGCCCAAGTCTAACCTTACTGAGCGGGCACATGAGCTTCTCTTCCTGCCCCGAGCACCGCCTCTTCCTCTCCGCCTCCGCCCACTGCCCCACATGCCTCAGCTCCGGAAGCACACACCCCACGAAGTCCGGCCGAGCATCAGCATCGTTCAGCACGCACAGCAGCGCCATCGCCAGCATCCTCTCCGCAACCTTTCTCAGCCAAATTCCAGCCGCAGGATCCAGGCAGCACATGTTTTAGCTATATTATGGCACATGCTGATCATGATCCCATGGTGTTATCAGACAAGGACATGTACACTCGAGTCCTATATTTAGCAGGGTCCTTCTCTTGCATTGGACCAGTATAGTACTCCTCAAACATGAGGCTGCCTGGAGATTTCCCCTGTGAGCGAATCCATTCAGAAAGGGTCTTGTAAGCGCTCCCCAGTTTCTGGTATGGGCCAATGTGCCACACGGCTGCTGCCTTTACGTCAGCGGGGGTCACAACAATGATGTCGTTTTCAGGATCGTCAGAAACTGAACATTTGGGGTTATGGGATGAGGAGATAGGGCAGAACAGAAAACTCAGCCAAGTGCTGACATCAACCTGAGGTTTTGTGATGTTCCAACTGACCCCAATGTCAACTCAGTTACATGCATGCAAGAAGTCATGGACGGAGAGCAGAACAAGAAAACAATCCGTTTCTTTCATTGCAAGCAAGCAAACACACAGCAACGATAAAAAGCTCCTTGACATATCCAAAATGGTGAAGAGGAATTCTTTGAATGTTATGTCACATAAGGCGCTGAGAGGAAAGCGATCGCACCTGTCTTGTCTGGCGAGGAGATCTTGAAGGGAATGCCGAGCTCCATGCGGGTGTGGTCAGGCGTGAAGGAATAGTAGATGCAGTAAGAAGGGCCGTCTCTTTCCGCTCCGCTCTGACAGGCAGAAATACAAAAACAAGGACGGAAGGTGGGGAGTGAGATTGGTGGTTCGGGCAGCCTCCTACCTCTTGAAGGAACTCTGAAGATAGAACGGCGAATGATGAGCTGGACGCGAGAGGCATACGGCCCAAAGCTACAAGTGCGGACGTAATAAACTGGGGTTTAGGGAGGCATGCAAGAAACCCCATCGAAGTTCGTCACTATACAACGTTTGACGGTGAGAACGGATCGAGAACTAGGTAACGAGGCGAATAGCCCTTTCATAGGCCGTGACTTAACATGAAGCGCTGCAGTGCCGGGAAAACACTGTATGAGGGATGAAGCACTGCGGCGCGCAGATCGGTTCAAAGCGGTTCACCTTCTTCAGGTGGGACTCGAGCATTGGGTAGGTGGTGCTGCACTGCTGGGCGATGCCGGACGGATGCAGCTCTGCGCGCCGAGCGACCGCTATTCCTTTCGGCAAGCTCACGAATTCGGGAACTCCTGATGCCACGTCAGAAACACCCGCCTCTCCAGCCATGCTTATAACGCTCCCCCGAACAAAATGGACCTTCCAAATACTAGAAAGAGAGACTAAATTAGCGAATCTGCAAAAGCACGTGGTGGCGAACTAATTCTTGCTTTCTTCCGCTGCTACTGCTACGCAACTTACGTAATCCTTCGCTCTTAAAACCCGCGTCTCATATTTCCTAGTGTATTACACTTGGTTGGGCTAAATCGCATGTGATTGGGTAACGATAGGCGAGATTTGTGACGAGCAGTTTTGAAAACACAAACGACCCCTCGGTTCGTCTACGCAAAAGCCAAACAAGCCCCTCAGGCATGGAAAGCTCCCACACCTAGAAAACAGATCCGGCAGTTCCATGCGACCGACTGAAACGACAAGACACAAGTCGCCCACATCCACCAGGAAACGCAGAGCAAAACTCTCGGCCGTCAGTCTTACTACCTCCGCTTAGGCAGGTTCCTAGGTATGTACCTAGGTACCAAGATGCTGGCCTTAGCACAGCAACAGGGATATAGCAGTCTATTAGAGCCCATTTCGGACCCCTTCGGGGGCCTTGCGAACGAATTTTAGTTGCGGATAACGCACTAGTTGGCGAGTAAGGAATCGTCCAATGTCGGGAACCGTCGCAACGCCATCGCTTGTTACGAGGTAGCCAGTTCGTAACATTCCGAGATGCGTTTTTACTCTGCTATTTACAGCTGTGGAACCCGGAGAAGTGATGTCTCATTTCAGAATGCGCTCGTGTCGTCCATCTACGCCAAGCGCGAGTACGTGAAAGGTTCTGCCGTCCTGGGTCTGTGTGCGAGTGGCATATGTGTGGGGTGTGTGTGAAATCTTGGTTGCGTGCGCTTGTGTGCGCGTGCATGCGTGCGTGCGCGAGCGTGCGCGTGTGCGTGCGCGTACGCGTGCGTGCATGCGCGTGCGTGTGCGTGCGCGTTTGCGTGCGCGCGCGCGTGCGTGCGTGCGTTTATGCGTGCGCGCGCGTGCGCGTGCGCGCGTGCGCGTGCGTGCGTGCGTGCGTGCGCACACGCGCGTGCCTGCGCGTACGAATGCGTGCGTGCGTGCGTGCGAACGTGCGTGCGTGCGTGCGTGCGCGTGCGTGAGAGCAAGCGTGCATGCGTGCGCACGTGCGCGTGCGTGCGTGCGTGCGGGTGTGCACCCGTATGTATTCTTATCCTTCTCTCCCTTTCCCTCTCTCCCCTCCCCTTCTCTCCTCTTCCTTCTCTCCCCTTCCCTCTCTCCCCTCCCCTTCTCTCCTTCCTTCTCTCCCCTTCCCTCTCTCCCCTCCCCTTCTCTCCCCTTCCCTCTCTCCCTTCCCCTTCTCTCCCCTTCCCTCTCTCCCCTCCCCTTCTCTCCCCTTCCCTCTCTCCCCTCCCCTTCTCTCCCCTTCCCTCTCTCCCCTTCCCTCTCTCCCCTACGCTCTCTCCCCTTCCCTCTCTACCCTTCCCTCTCTCCCCTTCCCTCTCTCCCTCCCCCCTTCCTCTCTCCCCTTCACCCTCTCCTCCTCCTGTCCGGAGTTGTTCTCAGGTCAGCCCATCCACGCCATCAGCAGCTCGCTCCTCTCCCACCCCTCCACCAACCCATTCCCCTCCCCTGCTGCCGCACACGCTTCCGTCAGCGATGATGCTCGTACTCCTCCCACTTCTCCAACACTTCATCTCCTTGGACTCCCACCCTCCAGCACCCGCCACCCCTCTTTCGCCCTCTTCTCATTCCGTCTGGTAACATTCCAGGAACCTTCTCCATGTTCCTTGTGCTGTAATTGCTGCCCCATCCCACCTCCCCATCTCCTCATCCCACCTCCCCATCTTCTCATCCCACCTCCCCATCTCCTCTTCTCCCCTTGTTTCCACCCCCATCCGTCCCCATTTAATCTCTTCTCCCCTCGTTTCCACCCCTATCCGTCCCCTATTAACCTCTTCTTCCCTCGTTTCGACCTCACCATCTCATCTCCCCTTTATGCCTCCAACCACCACTCTCTGCCTTCCCGTCCCCCCTTTTTGCATCCGTCCAAGAACCTCTCCCCTCTTCCCTACCTTCCCTCCCCATCCTTCCCTCCTCTTACTCCCCTCCCCTTCCTCCCCATCCCTGCCCTTCCCTCCATGCCCTTCCCTTCTCTTACCGTTTTGCATACAAGTCAGCACGTGTGCCAATTCCCTCTGCTCCGGCTGCAAACAGGTCAAGGCATGGCCCAAGCAAACTTGGCACTCCCCTTCCCCATCGCTGCCACTCCCCTCCACAGTCGCTTGAACGACAGGGTAGCGGGGGAAGGTGAGGGTTGGGGACAGGGATGAGGCAGCATTTGCTGTTAGAGAGAGGGGAGAGGGGGGTGGAAGAGAAAGGGGAAGGGGAGTGGGAGGTGGAGGTGGGGAGGGTGAGTGTTGTGGTGGCGGCCATGAGAGTGGACAGCCCTTTCCTTCTCCATCTGCCCTCCTTTTTTTTCTTTTCCCCTACTATGCCATCCCATCTCATGTCCCTTCCCTTCTCATCCCCTCTCCCATTCTTCTCATCCTTCCCATCTTGCGTGCCAGCCTCCCTTCCTTGCATCACCCCTACCCTCTTCTGTTCTCCCCGTTCCCCCTTTTTACCACCGTTCTCTTCCTTCACATCTCAACTGCCCTTTTTCTCATCCTTGGAGCCTTCCTTCCTCCCGTCACCCCTCCCTTTGTTCCAGTTACAAGCAGGTCTAAGCTAGTCACAGGCGAGCCTGGCGGAACGGAAGGGACAGGCAAGAAGCAGATGCACGGCCAGATACTAGAAGGCGAGACCGGGGCTAGAGGAAAGATGTACCCCGTATCTCTAAAATATTACACAAGTGTATACATTTCAAAAACTTCTTTACGTCAGTGCTGTGCGCAGTTGCTTCTTCAAGAATGGATACATTGAAGGACTTTGAGCATCAAGTGTAATATGCTATGAAAGACAAGAGACCAGGTGGGATGGGCAAGCCTACTTTGCCAACAACTGAGTTTTGAATCTACGCATTAGAGCGTATTCCTATCCTCGTATCAAGAGAACCTCATATCAAGATTGTACTTTTTGCCTGGTAAAACTAGCGAGAGGTTTTGGGTTTAGGGGAATTTCCAGTGGGAGGTTGATATGAGGTTCTCTTGATACGAGGATAGGAATACGCTCTTAGTCACGAAACTAAGGATGAACTGGTTCTTTGGGCGCCATGCTGGAACAAGCACATCAACAGGGGGGAGAGAGGGGAAAAGCAGAGGGGAGACAAGTGGGAAAACAGAGGTGAGGCATGGGAGGAAAGCGAGGTGAGGCATGGGAGGAAAGCGAGGTGAGGCATGGGAGGAAAGCGAGGTGAGGCATGGGAGGAAAGCGAGGTGAGGCATGGGAGGAAAGCGAGGTGAGGCATGGGAGGAAAGCGAGGTGAGGCATGGGAGGAAAGCGAGGTGAGGCATGACATGGGGAAAGAAAGGAGGCAGGGAGGAAGGGGGGACGTGATTGCTTGGCGGAATAGTGTGTGAAAGCAGGGGGAAAAGGTGGAAGGGTTGGCAAAGTGTTGGCTGCATGGGAGGAGCTGGTAGCACGGGATGAGAGGTGACAGCAGAGGGGGAAGGGAGGTGGTAGCAGAAAGAGAAAAGAAGGTGATAGCAGAGGGGGAGGGAACGGGGGATGAGGGAAGGGATGAAGGATGGGGGAAGGGAAAGGAGGATGCGGGGAAGGGATGAGGGATAGGGATAGGAAATGGGGGATCGGGGAAGGGTGCGTGGGTGTGGGGAAGGGAACGGGGATGTGGTAAGAGAAGGGGGGTGGGGGAAGGGAAGGGGGGATGGGGGAAGGGAAGGGGGATAGGGAAAGAGAAGGGGATGGGGAAAGGGAAGGCGGATGGGGAAATCCCTAGGTAATCCCTTTCTCTTCGCTTCCAGCCATGTCGCGTCGCTTCCTGTAATGTCGCGTCGCTGTTTATCTAGTCCTGACCCTCGCCTTTCCGTCGCGTCGCTTCCTATCTCGTCCTAACCCTCGCCTTTCCGTCGCGTCGCTTCCTACCTCGTCCTAACTGCTGCCTTTCCGTCGTGTCCCTTCCGTCCAAATTCGACAGGGGGGAGCGTTACTGCAGTACACCTTGGTCCAAATAGAGTGTTGCATCTTACTGCAATAATGAGGACCAGCTCTGGCGATGGACGGACTGTACGTGCGTAAAAGTAAAAGCAGGCGCGGAGTGACCAACGAGAAGTATTGCGTATTGTCACGTTTGACGCTCGAAAAAAATCAGGGAAAAGAAGATGCTGAAATGAGACTTAGTCGCTTGAGAAATCGGTGCTCCGCCACCTACAACCTGTCTGGGTTTGCAGTCTCATATTTTTCTGCTGTGGTAATACGCTTGCTTCTCTGTGTTCCCTACCGTCGTCGCACAAGGTGGTGTGTTCCTCGCAAATATGGTTGGGTAGTCGTGCGTCACCCTTCGCCAACCTGATGGGGTTGCAACCAATCACAGGTGCTCCCAACCAAACCCAACAAAGTTGCGACTGACTTGTGAGGTTACCCGGTTTCGAGCGTATTACTCTTGGTTGGAAAGAGGAAATATGAGACGCGGGTTTTAATTTTCCCTCGCATCTCTATTTTCCCTCACACGACACAGAACAGCTTCCCCTCCCATTGGGCGGCTGAGCGGTGGGGCTGAAACAAGGTTCCTTCAACGCATTTTGGTAAGAATCTGTACAAAATGGTTGGGTAGGGTTATAGACGATAACAAGCTCTTGTTGCACTACGACCTCCAGAACTTTATCTTCGTCGTCAGCTTCACGGCAAGAATCTTTCCTTTCTGCTGCTGACATCAGGGGAACGGGGTGCCAATCACATCGTCGCTCGACATTCCCACTTTCTCCGTACAGATCCCTTTATGAGGTAGGTCTCCCGAAATGCTTGCAGTGTACTATTGTCTAATTACGATATATTTATAACTTTGATGACCAAACTATGAGAGTAGAATGCAACAGAAATGAGGAACATTGAGCCCGTTATCCATACACAATGGGAAAGGAGTTCTACATAAATGGCTACAGCAGATTACAACAATTTGATATCAGGACAAAACACAACCAGAACATAACATTATAGAAACTTGTTTAGTTTAGCTGTTCACGAAGGCCAGTACAGTGAGGTTCGGAATCAGCGCCTTGTGAGACAGAGGCTTGCCAGTCTTGGGGGAGACCGAGCTGTCCTTGAACCATTCCTCGATATACCTCCTCTCGTACGTGTAACCGTCGGCAGCAATTACAGGGTCCTGAATTCGTGTCTGCCAGCAGAGACACATAGAAGAAGACAAGGGGGATAGTCAGGACAGGCAGGAAGATCTGAGCCATATGCAGCACATAAGATTTGAAATCTCGCCGGCAACTCACTGCATTGCACTTGACTAGTTGGTCAAGTTTCAACGTACATGCGTTGTTTCAAGCAGGCACATGAACTTCTCCAGCAGGCACTTTCTCCTCACATGCACCAAGGGGACTTGCGAGCTGCAACAACATGCTAGGTGAATAGCTGGTTCAATCCTGGCCCAAGTCTCACCTTACTCAGAGGGCACATGAGCTTCTCCTCCTGCCCCAAGATGACATCTGAGTAACATGACAAAAAGAACCCTATTACTAGCAATAGCCCAAGTCTCACCTTGCTCAAAGGACACATGAGCTTCTCCTCCTGCCCCGGACATCGCCTCTTCCTCTCCGCCTCAGCCCACTGCCCCACATGCCTCAGCTCTGGAAACACACACCCCACGAAGTCCGGCCGAGCCTCAGCATCGTTCAGCACGCACAACAGCGCCATCGCCAGCATCCTCTCCGCCACCTTTCTCGGCCAAATCCCAGCCGCAGGATCTAAACAGCACATCAGCTCCTCTACCGCTGCTTCCACTGCCCCCCCCGCCCGCTTGAATGGCATCAGCTGCTTGTGCAACGCGCGGATATTCGGCTGCCCAAGAAGGAGCTGCAGGATTATCAACCCGAGCGCATACACATCGCTCCTCCCCGTCACCTCCCCGGTTTGCATCTCAGACGGGTCAATGTACCCGACAGAGCCGGACAGACGCCACGTTTCCGGCAGCACCTCGCCTTGCCCGACAAACTGAGCTATCCCCACGTCTCCCACCTTGCTGCGCTTGTTTCGGTCCAGAAGGATATTTTCCGGCCGCAGGTCCCCATGGACGATGGGCGGGTCGTGGCAGTGGAGGAACACCAGGGCTGCTGCCAGCTCGCACGACACGCGGATCCGGTCGTGCCACGTCAGCGGGGCCCACGGCTTGGCGCCAGGGGTTTTGGCGAGGCGCTCGAGGAGGGAGCCTCCGGGGAGGTGCTCGTAGACTATGCAGCGCTCCTCGGGGCATTGACCCATCATGAGGGCCACGTGCGGGTGGCGAACTTTGGACAGTATGCTCACTTCTCTCTGGAAATCCTCTTCCTCGCACGAGCTTGCATGCTCGAGGCGTTTGACTGCGACGGTAGAGCCGAAGAGTGTGCCCTTGTGCAGAGTACCAAGGACGGTTTTAGTGAGGATGGTTTTCGGGGAGAAGTGGTCGGTGGCCTGGAGGATCTCGGCTCGGGAGAAGGTGCGGCACTCGGTGGAGGGTCGGGACTCGGTGGAGGTTCGGGATTCGGTTCGGAAGAGGCGGGAGGCGCTGCTGGACTCAGAACGGGCAGGCGACCAGGCTGAGAGGCTGCTGGAGGAGGAATACTGTGGGGAAATGGGGGGGAGGGGAAGGGGAAGGAAATGGAGAAGGGGAGAGCAGAAAGTGCAGAGTGGGCAGCTCCTACTGGTGAATAGTGCACTCAGAATATGTTTGCTGCTGGACTAGGAGTGGGCAGCTCCTATTGGTGAATAGTGCACTCAGAATATGTTTGCTGCTGGACTAGGAGTGGGCAGCTCCTATTGGTGAATAGTGCACTCAGAATATGTTTGCTGCTGGACTAGGAGTGGGCAGGTGACCAGACGGAGAGACAGCTGGAGGAGGAATACTATGGAGCAGACAGCTTACCTTGGTTGAGAACTCGCCAGTGACAAACGTGATGCCCTCCTCCTGCTCCTCCTCCCCCCTCCCCCTCACCCTTTCCCTCTCCCTCTCCCTCTCCCTAGCTGCACTGTCCAAACTGCCCCTGTGGCGGTTACTGCTACTCCAGTTGTTGCGGTGACTGGTGGTACCCCCACTGCTGCTGCGGCTGCTGATGCTGCAGGGGCTCTCCACCTCGGGGAGCGAAGCATATGCAGAGTCTTGAAGCGAGTCTTGAGGCGAATCGTGACTCAAGTCAAGGGCTGCCCCGCACAGAGGAGCCAGCACAGGCCGAGGGGTGGAGGGCAACTGCATGGCATCAGGGGTGCATGGCATGTGTGCGCCCCCCAGCACACCCTCAGGGGTGGAGGGCATGTGCGCGGCCCCCAGCACACCCTGAGGGGTGGAGGGCATGTGCACGGCAACCAACACACCCTTAGGGCTGGAGGGCAGCTGGGCGAGGGCCGAGATGGAGGACGATTTGGTGAGGCCAAGACCGGGGGGCGTTGTGGGTGGGTTGGGGTTGGAAAACGCTTTGGGCAGGCGAGGGGTGGTGGGTGCTTGGGAGGGAAAGCTGGTGGGGGTACCAGGTGACTTGGGCAGACAAGGGGTGGTGGGTGCTTGCATAGGGTCATGGGGGCTGGACGGTGACAAGGATAACCGAGGGCTGCTGGAGGCCATTTCAAAAGGGTGATCTGGGATAGATAGCACTATGGGTGCCTGAGGGGTAGGCGTCTTGGAGGAGGCGGGGGTAAGGGGGGAATTGGGGAGGGCAGTGAGGGCAGATGGTGGAGAGGGGCGGCTGGGAAACGTGCGAGGGGAGCTGTGAAGGGGGGGTGGTGTGGCTGGGTGCTGTGCTGTGCTCAAGCTGCAGCTCGTTGCAGCACGTCCTAGAGCCTCCTTCCCTGCCCCCTGCTCCTCCTCCTCCTCATCCTCGTCCTCACCCTCCTCCAGCTCGGGGATGCTCGCAGCACTGCTGACAGAGCAGCTCGCCATGGACCGAGCCACAGGGGACTTGGGGGGCGTGGGTGGCCGTGCGCGCAGGTTGAATGGTGCACCCCCCAGCCTCCCCGCCTTCTCACTCCCTCCCTGCTCATGGCCACTCTCCTCCCCTCTCTCGCTCCCCTTCTCACTCCCCCTCTCGCTCCCCCTCTCACTCCCCATCTCCTCCTCCTCTTCCTCATCATCTGAGTCATCCATGAGAACAGCAGCTGACATGCCCAGGCACAGCGGCTCCGACTGGGGAATCATGCTGCGGCCCCGACCCGCCATCGCCCCTGCCCTCGCCGCCCTCTGCACTGCGTCTGCCAGAGAAGCCCCACTGAAACCACCCACACCAGCACCACCAGCAGCACCAGCCGCTGCAACAGCGGCGGCAGCGGCACCGGCAGCACCAGCACCGGCAGCAGCACCAGCCGCAGTGGTGGGGAAATCAGTGTCACCATAGTAACCGCCAGTGCCGAGTAGAGGAGCGCCGGAGCCGACAACAAAGGTGCCGGAGCAGGTGCCAGCAGCCATGAGAGCCTCGAGATTGGAGAACGAGTTCTGCCTCTGCAGCCGCGCCCGCAGCATCTCCCCACCAGCACCACCACCAGCAGCGCCAGCAGCAGTGCCAGCACCAGCACCAGCACCAGCACCAGCACCAGCACCAGCACCAGCACCAGCACCAGCACCAGCACCAGCACCAGCAGCAGCAGCAGCAGCAGCGCCAGCACCGAAACCAGCTGCACTGTGGCTGCCAAAGCTGCCACTGAGGGAGAACCCTCTAGCGCGGTTGAAGAAGTGGGTGCTGCCGCCTCCGCTGCCGAAGCTGCTGCTGTCGTCGCTATCCAAGCCGTCGGCTCCCGCTGCCCGGCCGCGGCGGGCGGCGCTGGGGCTGAGCATGCGGCGCACAAAGGCAGCGCGCATGGAGGCAGAGGGGATGCGGCGCTTGATGGAGCGCGATGCGAAGGAGGCGGACACATTGAAGGGGCGGAAGTGGATGCGTGGGGACGGGGGCTGTACACGCGGGTCAACCCCAGTCACCCCTGCCGCCCCTGTCATCCCTGTCATCCCAGCCGCTGCGGTTGAGCCTGAGGCCAGTGCTGCTGAATACGCCACGGCTGCTGCGGTGGATGGGGAGCAGACAGCTGGCGACGACGGCGGCAGCCCCGGCCGATACACCTCCGCACGGTGGGAAACTCCTTGAAGAGAATTCCCTTGAAGAGAAGAATTCGCCTGGTGGTGGGGGTTCCCCGCCTGGGGGTCACTAGTATCAGTGGGAGAGGCTGTACGTGGGGAGAAGAGGCGGGGGGTGAAGCCTCGAGGGGAGAGAGGCGGCAGGCCCTTGCGAGACGGCGACGGGCCTCTGCTGCCGTTGAAGTTGTGCAGCGCTGACGGCGCACCGAGGCCGTTGATCAGGAGGAGGGTTTCGATGGACGGTGCAGATGCGTTGAGGTGGCCTTGGAGCGTGATGAGCTTGTCGGCCTTGGGTATGAGCAGCGTGCAGGTGGAGGGGAGGAGGTCCAGAGGGAAATCCATGATGGGCGCGGGCTCGTGCTTCCGAAATAGGCGCCGACTGCAGGAAATGAAGGGGGATCAGAGAGAGACAGTATCACTAGTTTTAGCATGCTACATGGCATGTCTAAAGAGACTTAGATTGAGAAATCCTAGGGAAAAAAAAGCACGAAGATTTCAAATAAAAAAGGAACAAACGTCAGCCGTGGGCAAGTCCAGCAAACTATCTTGGCCGGCCTAACCACTCGGCAAAGCCTTCTTGGCTGTCCACGTGCGCCGACTCCTCACGGCGCCTTCAAAAGCGACCCCCCAGGTTTTTCTAAGGGGCTGTGAGCTGCTGGAGTAGAGTCGTTGCGCAATGAGCTTCTGAGATGTCTCAACATCGAATAGGGAAGGAGGCCACGCACCTGGCCTTCTTAGGCGGCGGCGTGTTGCTGATGTAGAGGCGTTGCGCTTTGAACTTGACAGCTGCGATGCACAGCCCTCGCTCCCACGCCTCTGCTGCCTCCGTGTGCATCGTTATGGCGGGGCGTGTCTGAGGGGTAAGAAGAGGGACGCAGGGGGAACGCAGCACAGAAGTGGTGGGAAGGAGGGAGGAAGTTAAGACACGGATCGTGAAAAAAACATGTACTAGAAGTCCAATTACGAGGCTATGCAAGCCAAGTCAGTCAGCAGATGACACGTTTCTGTTCTCGGGGGGGAAGGGAGTGTGGAGAGGGGAAGGGGGTGCATAACAAACCAGCAGCCTACCGAGGGCGAGGCAAGGTCTGCGGCGCTCTGCTTGCGGCCGGGGGTCGGATAGCACTCTTCCTCCTCTGCCTGCGTCGCCTGTGCCTGCAGCTGCCGCGCGAACGACATCTTCCCCGCCATGCCGTGCGCTGGTGACGCGCTCCCGCTTATGCCTGAGAATGAAGAGAGAAATAGAAGAAAAAAAAAGCAAAATAAGATGGAGGGGGGAGAAGGGGAGGAGGGGGGTGGGAGAGGAGGGGGGAGGAGCGGTGGGGGGGAGGAAGGTAGAATCAGGTAGTGCAGGAACGAAGGACTTTCGAGGCGTAGGTCATGCAAAAGGAGAAAGATGTGGGAGGAGAAGGGAGTGAATTCAGGATGCGGGCCGGTGGAAGTAAGTGCAGGTGAAGGATAGGATCAAGAGAAACGAATTTGAGGAAAGAGGATGACAGGGTGGAGAATCGGCGTACCTGCCGTGACTGTAACGAGTACAAGCTGTACTCTGCCCTTGTGGCTCTTAGCATCGAGGTTAGCGCGAGCGAGAGCGCCAATGGCGGATTCGATGCTCTTGCTGATGTCCACCAGCCACACGGCGCTTGGCTCCGGCATCCTCGTTATAAGTCGCTGTGGCTCTTCAACCGAGGAACCCCAATGAATGTCCTTCGAAAGAGAAAATCCGCGACAGCGAAGTACTTCTTAAAAGAACCTTGTTGTTGAGTATCGACTCGAGATCACTAAGGGGGCCTGAAACGAACCTAAGAATTGGCGAATGATGATACCAGGAAGCATCTGAGAGTGATGGACACGAAACTCCTCTCTCGGGACTGCCTTGGAGTATCTCTCGACTGATCCTGACAATGCCTCCGTTGATTTAGCTTTCCTACTCGTCGTAGCGGCACCGGCGTGGGACTAAAAGCTGCTCGGAAAAGCGCAACCCCAGGCGTTGATGACACCATGGCGGCTGAATCAGCAGATAAGATCTGCACCGTTAATTTGGCAACGCTTTCCTGGTCGTTACTCCCGGATCGCACCGTTTGATGGTTGCCAGTCGGCTGCTTGCGGGTCGTTCCAAAGGCAGCTGTTTCAGAGCAACAGGAAATATCTACGAATGGGATTTCCTGGACTACTCGCGTTGGAGCAGCCTAACAATCTTCACCGTCCGATCTGTATCTGTTCCGACAACAACGCTGCCATACATCCCATTACAAGGGAGAACTATATGCGTTGTACTGTACATTCATTGATGGAACTACAGTAAACATTCCGCAATGCGCTCAAGGCGTTCTTGTCGGCCAGCTTTACAGCAAGCAATGAAAGCTTTCAGCTGGTGGCGATTCGTCTGGCCAGGCGCACTGATGACAAAGCTGCGGTCTAGCTTTGAGCATCCTACAGATGGCAACCACAGTGCTCTGCTCTGCGGGAACTGGAAAGGGTGCTTCGGTAATGTCGAAGGAGGAAAATCTACGACCGAGATCCTCATCGCAAGAAAATAAGCTGCGTCTCCACCGTCGATTGTATCGCTGAAGCTGGACAACATCTAGGAATGCGACGGGTCTGCTGGCTAAAGAAAAGCGGTTGCGGTTGCCGTGGAACGCCATCGCTACGAATGTCAAAATCTTGTGTGAGTCTGGGAGAAAGGGAGGTGAGGTGACAAGAGACATACCCGCTGCCGAGCAAGCAGGGAGCAGTTGGGAGTTGCAGTGCAAGGTCGTCTCGTCCTCATGTGCCATGAAAATTGCCGCGCTTTGCTCAGGGGGCAGTCGCCTCTTGGGCTTCGATTTGACGTGCTCTGTTCCGTTCCGTTCCGAATTGTGGAACTTCATTGATATTGGAGTGGCAGAGATCCTGCATTCCATCTCAAGAGCCGTCGGATTGAACAAGGGCCGTCGGATTGAACTCGGCTGGCTGGCGGCTCTTGCAATTCACCTGTCCCTTCGGTTCACGCACGACTCACGACGACAGGACACGAGTCATATGGGCACCTGGAGAGAATTGCTCCAGTGCCTTGTTTGGTGATTCGCTCTTGCCCACGTGTCCCCGAATTGCTCGAGTGGCCATCCAATTCAGTGATAATTGCTCGAGTGGCCATGCCAGGGCATTTTCGAGGTGTTTTTTTTCCCTGGCACATAACCCTACAAGGGTTCGTACCCACGAAATTCCTCGTTCGCACAACAGTAGATGCGCGGTCATTTTCGGCCCAATGCGCGACCAATGAGCGCGCGGGCAATTACATAAGCGATCATAAACTGCAACGCCAGAGCATAAATGCACGAACATATTATTGACCGCGCACGATTGGTCGATAATATGCTTCTTGCCCTTTTTGGCAATGCGCGTCCAATCACGCACGATCATATAATTCACGACCATATATTTAGGCGATAAAGCTTCGCCCAACAACCAATATGAGCGCGCATATACTACCATTAGTTCTATCATATGTCCGGTCCATATAAAACCATGCATATCAAATGCCATAAATATATTCTCTGCTATTAATTTAAGCCCGTCGTACTATAAATAATATTGTATCGTAGCCTATCATAATATTAAGCCCATCATACCGTGGTCCATAATATTTTATTGCCGGTAATATGGTTGCAGAAATAATATGTTCGGCAGCATAACATTAATTTAAGCCCAGCATAATATGCTGCCAGCATGGTTATGATGGGCTTAAATTAATAGCAGAGAATATATTTATGGCATTTGATATACATGGTTTTATATGGACCGGAAATATGATAGAACTAATGGTAGTATATGCGCGCTCATATTGGTTGTTGGGCGACCCTTTATCGCCTAAATATATGGTCGTGAATTATATGACCGTGCGTGATTGGATGCGCATTGCCAAAAAGGGCAAGAAGCATATTATCGACCAATCGTGCGCGGTCAATAATATGTTCGTGCATTTATGCTCTGGCGTTGCAGTTTATGATCGCTGATGTAATTGCCCGCGCGCTCATTGGTCGCGCATTGGGCCGAAAATGACCGCGCATCTACTGTTGTGCGAACGAGGAATTTCGTGGGTACGAACTCTTGTAGGGTTATGTGCCAGGGAAAAAAAACACCTCGAAAATGCCCTGGCATGGCCACTCGAGCAATTATCACGGAATTGGATGGCCACTCGAGCAATTCGGGGACACGTGGGCAAGAGCGAATCACCAAACAAGGCACTGGAGCAATTCTCTCGGGCACCTGGCATCCCACTGGGTGCTCTCTATCCTACTGTGCCACGCACAACAACGCTTGTTCCCCACTTCATGACCTCGATAGTGCACACCTCCTTGGCTCGGTTCAGTTGTAACTGTAACATGTATACATTCTAGGTGAAGTGTATGATGATTTTCGATGTTACTCAAATAGTGAGGCTCTCTACAAGACTCCTTACAGATTAGTTTTGTCAGAATGCATAATATGCTTGTAGGTTGTAGTGGGGTAGCCCATATAGGGTACAACCCTTTCAGTGTTGCATACTTGTATCTCACTACTGCTAATCACGCATCATTTCACTGTACTCTAACATGGTATCATGCGCTATGTTAGGTCCGACTGCCGAACCTACTACCAAACCTACGATTAGGTTAGGTTTTCCCCGCTGCCTCGGGCCTCGAGCGCCACTGCCCCACTGTCCATGCGCGCCCCACGCCACTGCCTGTCAGACAGGGTCGTCGCTAGCAGAAATTTTATGTCTGTTTGTCCGATATTCAGACAGATTTTTACCAGTTCATCTGATTTTCCAGAAATGAATTTTTGAAATTTCTGATTCATAAGAAATGTTTTTTGAATTCATCTGATCAACCAGGAACCTGTTCTGGTTTCGTCTGATACCGAGTTCCTATGTAGAAGGGTATTTCGTGTGTGAATGGAGTTTGGTTGTTTGTCTGGAGCGTTACTTAACCCTATCACTGTGTACAGAAGTAGCCTAGTTTGTTGCGATTGGCTTCACAATGGTGAGCATCCAAGTTCGAGTCCCAAGGTTGCGCGTTCTTCTTTCCAATTCCTTCGTAAGGTACAGAACACTGTGAAATGAGGAGGGCTCTAAGAAAAGCAATCAGAATTTGAATATTAAAAATTTCTGATCCAGCAGAAATGTTTTGAAGGAAAGTCTGATGCATCAGACAGAAAAAACCACGCCATCTGATGCATCAGGCAGGCTCAAAACCTAGGGATGACCCTGCTGTCAGAATACTTAACGAGAATGAAAGCATTTAACAGAAAGTTGGTACAAGTATTAACCCTAATTAGGTTGTACCCCTTATGGGCTACCTACCCCACTACAGCCTACACGATGTAAGCATTATAAATTTTTGACACACCCCCATGGGCAAAGTGGGGGAGAACAAGTGGTCACAAGACCAGTCAAGAAAAGCAAAGCAAGCTCAGGGTGGATCACGAAGGAGAACAAGCAAATGGCCACAAGGCCAGTTCACATGCAGAGTTATATAAAAGAAAACAAACAGTACACTGATAATACCCTAGCAAGTGTAAGCATGCAGGTATATATATGTATCACAGTACAAGCAAAGTCACGCAATGAGCAAGTGAGGCAAAGTAGGCACAAGGCCTAAAACAGTACAGAAACGCTGATGATCACCAGACTGGAGTGCCTTGGTGAATATATAAGCAGTGTTGGCCCGAGTGGCCATGTAAGCAAGATGAAGCTGACCACGCTGCTGCAAATATCGAGCAAGGAAGTAACGCAGAGCAATGTGCTTCGTTTTGTGCTCCAGTCTGTGCTCCTGGCACAAGGCAATCATGGCCTTGTTGTCTACGTACAGAACTGGAGAAGAACGAGGCCGCTCTCCCAAGTCGGTCAGCAGGTAGGTGAGCCAGCGTAACTCCTGTGCAGCCACGGCCCCTGCGTAGATCTCAGCCTCAGAACTGGAACTAAGAATAGAAGATGAGCGGGTAGACCGCCAAGAAACAGAGCCAGAGCCAAGGCTGAAAGTGTAACCCTATGACGATCGCTGTGTAGCCAAGTCGTCAACCCAAGAAGCGTCTGCGTGTCCAGTGAGGACAACTGGACCCCGTCCTCCAAGCACGAGCCCCATGCCCGATGTACTGCACAAGTAGTGCAACACCCTCTTAGCAGCCTCCCAGTGCTCTGGTCGGTGTCTCCCGGGCGTAACGTAGCGTGCCAGGATGCTAAGAGGGTAGGCAAGGTCAGGTCGAGTGCAGGTCATCAGGTACATGAGGCAGCCCACAAGCTCTGGATACGGGCCACTCAGCTCTACGCACTCGTCCGAAGGTGGAGCTGAGAGCGAGTGACCGGTAGGCAGAGGAGTGGACTGTGGCGAGGAGTACCGGAAGCCGAAGCGCTGAAGGACCTGGTGCACCATGTGTGACTGAGTCAGGGTGATGGTGCGCCGTGCTCTGTCCCGGGTGATCTGCAAGCCAAGATAGTTGCGCGCCTCACCCAGGTCAGTGTAGGTGTGTCTCTTCTGCAACCCCGACTTCACAAGGGCCAGTGCCTCAGTGTCAGCAGTGGCAAAGACCAATTTGTCGACGTACACGAGGACGTAGAACGGTGGCAGCGAAGTGTCGGTGCGCAGAAACAACGACGGGCCAGCAGTCGAAGGAGCAAACCCAAGAGTCGCAAGCGT